AGCAACTCAACTTTGACTATTCCAAGTGTATGAAGGAAAATATCCTGTTTAATGAGAATAAATTATAATTGCATCTGTAAAAAATCTGCTTATCTCTTCTGGGAACAAACTTTTCCTGATTATGGTTTCGATACTCCATTATAAAAAAGTCCCTGTCTTGATTCTTCAATAAATAATTCAAATCAAAAGAATAGGTTTATTACCTGTCTCCTAGTAGCTCCTGTAGTAGTTGTCCTCCTTGTCAATAGGACAAGAGGAAATGGCCTCAAGTTGCACCAAGGGAAGTTTAGATTGGGTATGAGGAAGAATTTCTTTCCTGAAAGGGTTCTCAGACATTGGAAGGGGTTGCCCAGGGCAGTGGTGGACTCCCCATCCCTGGAGGTATTTGAGTCGTGTAGACGTAGTGCTTAGGGACATGGTTTAGTTGGGGACTTGTCAGTGTGAGGTTAATGATTGCACTTGATGATCTTAAAGGTCTTTTCCAATCTAGGCAATTCTGTGGTTCTGTAAGGACAGGAAGCTATCAACAACCATGGCATTAGTTCCCGGCATTTTTCTCTCTGCCACTGAGGACAGAAGCATCAACTCGATGGGGTGATTAAGCAATATTGAGAAGTCAGACTGGTGATGCTAGTAAGTTATCCCATCCCACTGCATTTATCTTCTATTTAAGCAAGTAGAAATGGATACTGTGTTTTTAAAGAACTAATTTGAAAGTCAACTACTTCATGGTTAAGTTGATTCCCTGTCTTCCCCACAGCCATGTGCCTATGCACAGTATTGGTTTGTTTAGGGGAAAATGGCAAAATCTCAATATGTTTGTTATGCAGTACTCCAGGTGGGGCATTACAAGAGCGGAGTAGAGGGGCAGAATCACCTCCCTCGACCTGCTGGCCACGCTTCTCTTGATGCAGCCCAGGATACGGTTATTGGCCTTCTGGGCTGCAAGCGCACATTGTCTGCTCGTGTTCAGCTTGTCGCTCACCACAGTACATACAGTAGCTAAGTTCAGCCTTGTATATTCCCTACAGTTCTCTCTTCTTACCTCACTCCGCTGTAGGACACTTGCCTGCCTTGCGCTGTGCTGCCTCTGCCCACCTTGAACCCAACACTAGATGGCAGCTTTGATCTTTTCTCTTTGTGCCGACTTGTCCATTTGCTGATCCAAGAACTTTGGGTGTCTTCACTGGCACAAAGGGGTGTGAATATACCATTGCTTTCCCAAGTAAGGTACAATCTGAGACCGAAATGTAAGTGAAGCACTCGAAAAAAATACCAGTAAGGAGGTGGCACTAATAAAAGTCAGGATCTAAAATCCACTTTTAGCTCTATAACACTTTAGCTTTTAGCTGGAGACCAGAATATGTATTCTTCAGGTACAGGAATTCTAGAATGACTGAAATAAACTCTCTTATTTACAGCTATAACATAGCAGTTCTTAACATAAATGATCAGCCTTTCATAGAGATGTTTAAAACTTTTATTTTTAAAGCAGAGTTATATAATTTAATTCTATTCTTTTAAGACAGGCTAAGCCCCATAATTCTCCAATATGAAAAGCAAGTATTGTGGTTGTCTCTTAGGTTTTAGTTCAGCAAAGTACACAAACACTTAAGAAATCCCATTTTAACTAGAGCTAAGTTAAACTTAGCTTTTCTTGTTTGCTAGACTGAGGTGCTAGTGTGCAATATGACGTTGCAATTCAGTTTGAGGGAAAATAATTTCACCATTTAAATCTTGTTTCAATCACGTATAACTAAAAAAAAAAAATCAACAAAACAGGTCCTCTATTTCTGTGAAAGTAAAGCAATACTTAAATTTGCATGTTCTACCAGGTGTTTCTTTTAGTAGTTTTTTTTTTTCTCCAGGTGATTATATTCTCTACAGGTCTAACAATGCAAAAATAAAGCTCAGTACGTAATTTTAATAAAACTTTGTTCTCTGTTAAAACATATAGCCAAACTTAAACTGCCTTAATCTTCTGCTACAAGCACTGGCGCTGCTCTGCTGCAGTTTTTACTTGAAAGCAGTTCTGCATGGAGTGAAAGAGCCAACCCTAGCCAGCCAGGTTTGTGTCTGCATAGAGCTGCCAGGGTGCAAATTTAACCTCTTCTTGGGTTGTGTTTGTTGGTAATTGAAACAAAATTCCTACCAGAACTTTCTTGTTAGCTTGGAAATTAAGTTTCATCCTTCAGCTGTCCTGCCCAGCATGCCCTGTGCCATGGAATGATTATCTCTACCTTGGATGAAATTAAGGGCTGAAGACTGTCTAGCTTTTGATAAACAGTTCTGAAATTGGGTTGGTATTTTGATTATGGTTAAAAAAGAAAAGCAAACTAGAGTATATTGCTCTCTCTTTAAAGTGTATCTCAGCCTTTAACATGAGAAAGCTCTTTGAACCACAGACCAAATTCTGCCCTTGGCAATCTCTGTGATGTTTGCAGAGGCAAACAATCACACATATTTTGGCCCTTTATGCATAGTAGACACTTTGGTAGCTTACAGACCAGGAATGCCAAGTCCTCATGTATTTCTCAAGATAGGGATGTTCAGCCTACATCTAGCAGCCAAATTCTGATCTTGTGGTAATTTAAGTGATTTGCCATTTCATGCTTAGCACAGTGTCAAGCAAATTTCAACTTTTAGAAAGGAAAAGGCAAAATAGCTTTAATTTATTGTAATCACAGAAAATGTAAGGACTGATGATGACTGCAAAGGGTTGATATTGTTGAGTCATTGACTGGCTTATATTCCTCTTGTTTCCAATTAGCATTCCTTAATGACCTGAAAAAGTTGAATGGTGAGGTAAGGATGTATAATTGTCATCTGTCTTCCTTATAACAACAGTGGTAGAAAGAGTGGCTTTGAGGTGAGCAGGTTACCTTGACTCCCTTCTATCTTCATATTTTATTTCCAAGTGCAGTCTCCTCTGTTGCTATTAATACTACTGATCTCTATCACAGAACTCCTCTTGGTTTATGCTTTTAAATTGTTCAGTGCAGCTGGCCAGCCTGCAACTCATGATCTAACACGCAACTTGCAAGTAGTCAGCATGGCTCCCCCGACGATTTCACCTCCTGTGTTTGGGAGCAGGACTGTGCTGGCACAGGTGCTGGTGGTTGAACTGAATTCCCAACTTGCAAGAGGAAACCATCCATCAGAAGGAGCCGATGGTGGAAGTTCCAGGGGTATCTTGAGTCCTGGATGTACTCCCAGCCCAGTCCTGTATCACCCCGGGAAGTCCTTGTCCTGCTCAGTACCTGTTCCACTACTCCTCAGCTCTCCCAAGTGTGTGGTATGTCTCTCATGGCTTTTTATCATGGAATGATTTGGGCATGTGGACAAAAAGTTTGATTGCCTCTGTTTGAATTTGAATTCCCACTTTAATGTAAATAGATTTTTAATAGAACTATCTGCTTGCTTTAACTTCTCTATTACAGAAGGCTAGTAAAAATAAAAAATAAACCTCTGCAATATCCACCTACCAAAAGATTTCAAAAAATCCCCAGAAGTATGCATTTTGGTTCTAAAAGTTTATGGTATTGCCTACAGGAAGCTGACATCAAATGAAGCTGACAAGTTTGTAAGACAGCTGTAAGCAGAAAACGTAAGATTTAGTGATATCCAAGAAATATCAACTTACACAAAAGGCTGATAGGCCAGGGATATAAACTGGATTATTTATTACAAATTTAAGTCAGCTGGAGTCTGATGTTCACATAACAGCACAAAGTTTAGCTCTTAGAGGGGATTTGTACAATTTGGTAGAGACAGCAAAATTTTTGTGAAGTCCTTTTGTACAATAAAGGTAATAAAATAGCAACATGTGCTTGCCCTTTTTAGATAACTGACCTTTTCTCCGTATTCTACTTCCTTATGCCAGAGAATCCTATAAACACAGTCCTCTGTGATAACACATAGTCCCTTTGCAACACTCGCCATCAGAAAAAAACTTCTACTCTCTATCAGATCCCTAACATCAATTATGTTCAGGGCCCATTTTCACAGGACATTTTTTGAAAGTGTTGCCATCAGCTTCAGCTCCAAAATTATTATTTAGCATTTTGGAAAATAACCAAGAGAGTCCCTGACAGCATACTTCTGGAGGACAGCACTACAGGGAAATAAAATACATGACCTCTCCTTTGGGAACAGGCTTATACATATCTCTTGTTAGAAATTTATTTTAGAAGCCATAAATGCATATGAGGAGCTACACAGCTAAAGACAGGTTATTAATCATCATGAATGTTAACAGCTGTGAAATTATATATTAAGTGTGCTAGAATTTATAAGACTAAAGCATCCTATTCATAGTTAAAAATGCCCTCTTCTCATTTTTGCAGAAGCCATCACCTATATTGTACTACTAGCCTTGCAATGAATTTGTGTTTAAAAATGGAGAGTGAGCAGCAGACACCCACTCGAGTCCTGAACAATACACCCTGTGTATCTTTCATTTTCTGGAAAACTAACCTCTGCCTTTAGTTACAGCCTGGTAAATGGGCACTTTCATCTTCCAGTCCTCTACATGCTATACACTTCAGCAGCTCCATACACTGCAAGTCCAGGCACTTGTAGAAACTGCCTGCATACTACCATTAAAAAAAAAAAAAAAGTGCAACACTATATTCTTTATGTTGGTTGAAAGCTCCAAAGATTTGAAGTTAGTTATCTGAATCTGGAAAAAAATCCTAATTGAAAACTGAATGGTTATACCGACGTCAGAAAATTATCCCTGTGCTAGCCAGGTGCAGAAGGCACTCTGTGGCAGGGGGGTGAAAGTTCAGGTATTTCAAACGCTTGAAGTCTTGGCAGCTTGACTTCAAAACAAAAAAAGAATCTTATATAAAACTTTTTCTGATGCCTGTTATTCATGTCTGTGACTTGTGGCTCAATCCATAAAAGCTTTTCTATTTTCCCAAACCAATAAAATTTAAAAATGTTCATGTGGACAGAAGAGCAGGCCCAAGAAGAGGATGTTCATAGAGACATAACTTCTATTCCTTGTTATTAGCTGTCTCTGAAAGACACGGAAAAAAACAAACAATTAATTGAGGGTACAAATTGATATTCACTAAATCTTACAGGAATTCAAAGTGAAAGTTCCCTGGAAGCATCACAGGATGAAGGGGGTATCTGCTCTTCTCCCAGATCTGTAAGGATGTTCTGTGTGGACCTAAAGCAGCCACAAGCAGCCACTGTCTTGGCTTCCTCTTCCCCCTTCCCATTCAAGCACAGTCTTCCTCTTACAGACATTAGCATCACCTATGTGAAATCCAGTTATGCTGCCACAGCCTTATGCTCCTCTCCACCCTTCTGCCTTTTTTCTTAACAACTTTTGAAATCACTATATAATTTTGTCATATTTGTACAAAGGCAGAGATCTCATGGACATTAAATCTTAAATAGGGACAAGACAAAGGATGTAAATTCAAGTATAGGGTATTACATTTAAAATAAGAAAACCTTTTTATTTTAACTGTAAGGGCGATTGACTAATTGGAACAGGCTGCCCACAGAGTCTGTGGAGTCTCCATCCTTGCGGATATTCAAAACCCTACAGGACAACCTGCTCCAGCTGACCTTGCTTTGAGCAGAGAGGCTGGACTGGACAATCTCCAGAGGTACCTTCCTACCTCAGCTATTCCATGATAAAGCATGGCTGAGGAACTGCACCCAGCCCCTGAAAGTGTATGTCTTGGCCCCCAGCAGCTGAGAAGCTCTCAGTCTCGCTGGCTTGCTTGATAGCTAAAAGATAGTGCCCAAGGGGATGAGTGTCAGAAATCAGTGTTGGACCACTCCAGCTCAAGGTACTTCTTTCCTATCCAGAAGACCATGCAAGGATAGGTTGGGAACATGGAAACATGGAACTTCCTTGTAGTGAATGGTGGTATTTCCACAAGGTCAGGTAGGGAACACAGGGAAGGTGGGAATTTTGCAGAGGAATACAGGAGACAAGAGAGACATCCAACTGTAGTGACTCTCTGTGACAAAGAGTCTGACAGTTAATTGGCATGAACATTGCTAATACAGTGTGGAAAAAAATACCCTTTAGTGGTTTTGAATTCAACACGCTTATTGTGTTACTGAGCATTCCCTTGCTCAAAGATGGACCTCTTCTACCTTTAAAGCAGTATTTATTTTGCACTAGAATCAGCTCATATCCTCTTAGTCGTACCTTCTCAGAGGCAAGGCTCTGAGTGTTTTTGATCTCTCTCAAAGTAAGAATTTTTCCATTCCCTTAAGCAATCTTGCTTCCCTGCCCAGAATCTTGTTTCAGTTCTTCAATATCCTCTCAAGATGGAAGAATTGCTCCCTTACACAACAGCATCCCAGATTTAAATGCCTACTGTTCCATCCTTTACTTTGTTTGCTTTTCCTGAGCACAGCTGTTCTCGGAGCTGTCTGCATCGGTACACTCCTATCATCTGAAATGTATTACGGACATAGAAGCAGGGGTGCTCTTTCTGCTTCCTTACAAAACTGCTGGGGAGAATATTGTGAAGGGCAGGTAAACGCAGAAAGTATTTCAATAAAGCTGTAACCATTACATGATGAAATCTCTTACTCTTCAGGAGCAGGATGCTGTTCTTTGAGGTTTTCCAGAACGAAGTTAAGTGCTTTGCTGAATGCACAGCACAGACAGATAATTCTTTGCAAAAGCGTAGGGGCAACAGATTAAAAACCAGTTGAGTGAATAAACTTTTTTGGATTTCATAGGCAAAGCTGTATGGCATAAATTTAATGATCCTGCAAGAGCACAGCTGCCAACGGCCAACGATAGCTCGTTTTCACAGGCTAGCTTAAAAAGTAACAATGTAAAAGTGATCAACTGTTAAACAGATGAGAATTAAAGGGAGGTGAGTGCTGGGTGGGGTTTTTTTGTTGTTTTTTTTTTGTTTGGTTGGTTGGTTTTTGTTTTTTTTTTATCACTGCTCATCCAATTCTACTGGAGTTATCATGAGGTCACAAAGGTACATATGCCCTGACCAAACTGCTTGATGACCACCGTACTGGTCTGCCAGGCTGCAGCACTCATGTTGCAAACCATTTTCCTTAATCCTGTAGCACAGGCTGGCTTCCTGCTGTCACCTCAAAGGCTGGGACAAATACCAGCACTGGGAAGGAACCAAAGACCTCTCACCCCAGGTGCAAGAGGTTTATTTGGAAGTCATGGAAGTGCTGCTGTAAGAAGGGAGGAGCTGTCTGCATGGCCTGTTCATCCTTTTCCACATTCCAGCAATACTACAGGGTAACCTCTGCCTTCTGAGACACGCAGATGCCTTAAGTGATGGACTCAAAATAAAAAGTAGAGGATTCTTAGTGAATGTGCAGGAAGAAGAACTAACTTTTGCAGAACGACTGTGATGACAGAATTGTGAATGTAATTTCCAAGGCTGTTAGAGGGACAGTCTTATCCCCTCAAATTCTTCTCTACACTGGTGTGACAATTTTCCAAAGGCACTTTATTTGGTTTATGATTTCCCTTCCCACCACGTGAACTGCATTTACTGTGCAATGTGCTTTCATCCCAGCACTACACGGCTGATTTCAGCTGATAAGGAGAACGAGGGGATCTAAAATGACTGGCATAGAATGGAAATCACAAAGCAGCATTAAGGCATTAGCTCATAAAAACAAGCCTGCAAATAATGAAGAGCAGAGTCATGATTTTAACATAGGTTTTTATTTTCCAAGACTGCATGTTACAGTCTAACATTCTCCCCAAAGAGGGGTCATTTATCACTGGTAAGACTCATGCAGTATATAAAGATGACCCATGTAGAAAGCATGACTTCCAGTTGATTGCTTCCAAAAATATCTTTTAGTGTAAACAAAATTATGTATTGTGATTTATCTCTTGTGATAAAATGCAGAAAGCAGCTGTAAGCAGTGGGGGCATGACAAGATGTGCTCATTAAGGACAGCACAGTCTTTTCTGTCTCCTAAACAATAACCCATGTGGTCCTTCCCTCCTCTGTCAACATACCTATCTCTGTCGCTGCTGCACCATCCACAGCTTCTCCTGTTTCTTCTTCTTTTGTTTCAGGCCCTCCACTTCCTATCTCACTCAGCAGCTCAGTTTCCACCTGTTCTCCCGTCTCACCTGGGAACAGTAACCATGGAGATCAAATTAGGATCCACTGAGAAAAGCACCAAGTGCCCCAGCTCCTTCCGGTAAACCTGACTTTACCTTATCAGCTCTCCAATGGCCCTTACCAAGGTACCCCTTGAATGAATCCATAGGGAAAAACAGGATGCTCCCAATCACTTTCCATCATCCAGCTACATGCATGCCTCATGCCCAAAATGTTCTCCTGATGCTTTCACAAAATCCCCTTGATGCTCTATTCAGTACCCATTATGTGTACTACTTCTGTTCAAATTATTTTTCCTGGATTTTATTTTATGTATGTGCAGTTTTATTTTCAATTGGAACAAAACAGAAATAGAAAACATGGTAACATGCCAGTGTGGCTGCAACTGTGCTTTCCCTGGGAAGCTGCTACCTAATTAATTTAGTCACACAGCTACTGAAGAATAAAGGAAAGCAAAGCAAGTGCTAAGTATCATATGCACCACAGCAAAAAATGGAAGGTCCCTTCTTCATCACATACCTCATGGAAAGAAAGTGCACCCAAGTTAAGATATTACTTTGAGCTTGGAAAAAATAGGATGAAATCTCTTTTTCACAGAGTCATAGAACCATAGAATGGTTTGGGTTGGAAGGGACCTTAAAGATCATCTAGTTCCAACCCCCCTGCCATCAGCAGGGACACCTTCCACTAGATCAGGTTGCTCAAAGCCTCATCCAGCCTGGCCTTGAGCACTTCCAGGGAGGGGGCATCCACAGCTTCTCTGGGCAACCTGTTCCAGTGTCTCACCACCCTCACAGTGAAGAACTTCCTAATATCTCATCTAAACCTACTCTATTCCAGCTTGAAGCCATTACCCCCTGTTCTATCACTACCTGCCCTTGTAAAAAGTCCCTCCCCAGCCCTCCTGTAGGGCCCCTTCAGGTACTGGAAGGCTGCTAGAAGGTCTCCCCAAAATCCTTGTTCGCTCACCCTGCAAACAGCATGAATCGCTTGATGGTCAAAGCCCCATAACTGATCTTCAGGCAAATGTTCAACTGTAAATGTGTTTCCATGGTCATGAGGTCATACCACAATGTCCAGGGCGTACTGCTCTGCCTCCAGCACTATGCCCTGAAGCTTAGAAATAGTGATTAATGAAACTGGAGTTTCCAGCTAGGTGAGACTATGTGTTTTACAGGTGAGCATCCAGTCATTTACTGCTTACATAAAATGAGGCTTCATTCCAAAGGATAGGTGCCCATTTTATGTAGATGAAACCTCAAAATTATTTTGTGAAGAGACACAGGAGAGGACAAGCCAACGCCCATGCTCAGCTACGGGGATGCACGGAGTCAGTTATATAACCACTTCAGAGATGTGCACAGCAAAGCCTCAGGGTTCGTGATAGTGAGTGGAACCGGCTCTGGGCTTCGCACAGAGCAGTCTTTCTCCTGAATCTCACACTTCTTCAAGGCAAATGTGGAGTGAGGAAGGCTGCTGATACCATGTTTCCCTGCAGAGAAGTATTTCTCATGTGCTTCACCTGCTTATTCCCTGAAGAAATGCTCCCCCAGGAAGTATCCGATTCCTCAACAAGCTGCTTTGTACCACTTAGGAGAAAGCTGATTCCCCCTATGAAGTGTTCATCTTCTGCATGTGCAGTCCATGGGAGACACAGGTCCTCTGGGCACTAACCCAAAGATGAGCACAGCCTGTAATCTCTGGCAATGACCATACCCCCCAGTAAAGGTCTCTCTCACAGCAGACAGAAATACCTGCTATCTCAGACACCACTGCTCCCTCACACAGCCTTCCTCCCCAGCTAGTCAGCTCCAAACACTTTAGGAAAGCTCATCCCTATGTCCCTTCACTGCTGCTTCTATTCTGCTTGTGTAGTAGCCAAACTTTTACGACAGGCTGGATATGCCAAGGTTACATCAGAGATGCTTTTTCTTCTACATCCAGACATGCACCCTCCAACTTCATGTGCACAGGGACAGTTGCTTTATAATTAATACATGTAACTAAGTAATAGAGCCTTTTGCCTCTGTAAATATTAAGGAACATACCTGAGCTATCCAGAAACATAACATTTTAAACGAGGGGTATGCTGGGGCATTGTACCTGCTAAGAACAAAAAGGGCATGAAATGAAATAGCAGAGCTAATTACTGGAAATGCTGATTAAATTTATTACAGCTTGGACTTGTGAATCTGAGGCTTCCACAGCCACGTTCTTCTACGCTCCACATTGTACAGACTCCCCGGACCAAATTCTGACTCCAGAAGCTCATGTGAGGCTCTCAGTAAAGTTAAAAGGATCCATGCACAAGTCCCTGGAGGTGGAATTTGGTCTCCTGAATTTATGAAAGCACAAATGTTACCCTCAACGAGGTGGTCCTCTTCAGTAATATGTAGTCTCTCAATGATTTCCACTACAGAGCTGTCACTGCCCTCTACCAGCCCACTGTCCTCTGCTGGTCCTGGTGACGGTGACCCAGCATCTTCTCCTGGTGCTGGTGACCCAGCATCTTCTCCTGGTGCTGGAGGTGAAGGCCCAGTGCTCTCCTCTTGCCATGCAGATGGCAGCTCTGAGGTCTCCTCTGCTCCTGCAGCCAGGGGCTCGGTGCCCTCTGGCTCCTCCCTTTTACTGACCAAATCGATCTTTTCCTCTACAGCCAGAATGACGGCTGCAGCCTCCTCTCCTGGCTGATGCTCCACCAAATTTGTCTCCTCAGAGGCAAGACTTGCATCCTCTGCTGGGTCCAACTGTGTTTGGTCAGCTATGGTTTCATGATCATCTGCAGTCGACGTGTTATCACCTGATGATGCTTTTAGTTATGGCAGACCAAGGAAAGAAAAAAAATAATTAAAGATAATTGATGAGTGGGCATGTAAGCTAGATGAGAACTAGACCCACAGGGGACCACACAAGAGGGTGAGCAGTGCCCCATTTCTTAAAACAAAAACCAGTTTGTCTGACTTTTTAAATACTAAACTACTATTCATAGTACTTTTTGTCTAGTAAAACATTAAACAACAGGAAGCCTAAACAATTTAAACTTCTGCTTCCTTCATCTGCCATCAACTTATTGGCAATGGGCCTTTTTGGCAGGCAAAATTCATGAACAAAGAAATGGCAAAATTATTCTGACAGGTATTTAAGGATAAAAGTTGAGCACTCAAAATGAGCTATACCTACCTATCAGACTGACTTAACAACTTTGTGATTCAATTCAGTTTGACAAGAGCTTGTACTTAACTTTCTCCAAAGGAATGTCAGGATGAAAACCCTGGGAGTTCATGCACAAAATCTGTTTATGTAATAATTACAAAACTGAACAAATTGCATTTTCTGATAAAATTATGATTGCAGTGTCAAAGCCAATGAGCAGAACCATATGATACTTCATACACACATAGATGAACAGCGAAAAAATGCAATACATCCTCCTCTTAAAACAGCTGCTTGAATACTGCTGCTCTTAAGGTAACTCCTCAGTTCTTTTGAGGCATTCAAGCAAAACACTTCCCCAGAAAGTGTCACCTAGATAGCATGCGCCTACAGACCTGGGGAAGGACAGCTAAACCAGGAGAAGAGCAAAACCAGGGAATCTGGAGTGTCAAAAGAGACAGAAAACAACTTTGACTATGGGACACATAAAATCTCATTTGTCCCAGGAACTGTAAAACCATCCCAGGTCCAACCAACCCCTCCAGATTCACAGAGGTATAGCTAGTTATAAATGCAACTCAAAAAGAGGAGGTAAGCTCAGGTACGCACATTGGACCACTGACCCACCCAGGCAGAACCCTCCCTCCAGCAGTTGCTGAGGGACAGTGGGATGGGCAGAGGGTCTCAGTCCGTCAGTAGACATCCCTCTGTGAACCTGCCCAAGCCCCTTTTCAATCCATCTATGGACTTGGTCTCCATCATAACCAGGGGCAATGAGGTCTACAGCCTACTTACACCCCCTGTCAAACACATTTTTGCTGGTCTTAAGCCTGCTGCTAGTCATTTCATCAAGTGACATAGTTCTTGTCTCACAAGAAACAGCAAATATATTTCAATTGGTGTTACCAGTAAAAGAAACAATTCAAACCCATTATCACAAGGAATCTCCTGCAGCTCCTGTAAACATCAGCCCTGTGACTTCCAGCTAGCCCTCTCTTTGTTAATATCTTTTATATAAATTGGATTATAAAATACTGCCATGCAACACGAGACCCATGCTGCTGGATACCCTGGAAGCATTCCTCCGCTCTCATCTGAAATACAAAGAATTCTCTAATATGGAAAAAATAAATCCTCCCGGTAATCTGTTCAATACCTTTATCCCCGGGAAGAATGAACATCATGTGGCAGTCAACATTCCTAGGATGCCTTCTAGTTTTGTTTTATTTTTAAATTTATATTTTTTATTTTCCCTGCTGTAGACAATTTCAGCTGGAGAAACAATGAAAAGCACAGTGAATTTAAGTGGCCCATGGCTACACTATTTTTCCCTTCGCCTTTTTTCTTTCCCTTTGGAAAAGCTTCACATTTTTGTGAGTTATACGTCAATGGAAGGAAACTATTTTTTTTTTTTCCCATTAATAGAATCTTAGAATGGTTTAGGTTGGAAGGGACCTTAAAGATCATCTAGTTCCAACCCCCCTGCCATCAGCACGGACACCTTCCACTAGAGTCCACCTTCCACTAATACATTTAGAGAAATTTCTTTCAAATTATCCTCTCTCATAAAGCTCAGTTATACAATAACAAACACATCTGGCTGGTAACTGCCATATTAATGGAGATCTTTCAGCTGTAATTACAAACTGCACTTTATCATTATCATGACAATCGTTTATGTATTTAGTACCTTTCATAACCCATCCTGACATGAACAGGCATTTAGACAGAATTGCTGAAATACTCTGAATAAATTACTTCAGTTGTTTCCCTGAGCCCTTCAGTATTCCTGGACACGGATCTTTCAACAGAGGATGGAAAGGCAGAGAAATGTGGTACATCGACCGGGTGAACAAGACAGCAGGTACAGTATAAAGAGATTTCTGCCGATATTTTCAGCGGGGCTCCTCGGTTTGCAGATGTGTGCTGGCTCTATAGTGGCACAGACAACGCTCACTCCATACAACCTGCCATCATCTCCGCAGTCACAAAACACACCACCATCAGACAATAAAGGGAAAATAAACCCGTACAGAAAACATGGATGCTGCAGCCGCAATAGCAGCAACAGATTATATTTATAACTCAAGAACACAGGAAAGAAATACAGTAAAATGAAATGCAAACAATTTTTATGTATCTATCTTCAGGCTGTAACTTTCCGGAGAGGCCAATATCTCTTAACTGCAACATTCAGGTTCTTAAAAAAAGTGTTTCCAAACTTCCCTTGGAGCAAAGAGCCGAGTATGAGGAATATGGGAACAGAGTTTTATTTAACTACCACTGAATAGCAAGGCTATTCCTCCGGCACATCCTACAAATACGCCTCGCACCCAGAGTTAATTCTCTGTGACTTGAACCAAATCAAAGTCACAACAGCGCTGCCGGTGCTGCCCACCATGTCGGGTGGCTGTAGGGATTTTGTGAGAAAAGGGAAGGATTGCAGGGTCGGGTTGGCTGTTATTTTACAGGGGACCCCCAGCACCCACTGGATGTACAAGGTTTTATATGAAAGGTTCAACCGCAGGACCTGCCTGTGAATGAAAAATAAAATAAGTCTGTGGAGGGGAACGGAGCCAGTAACTTCTTCACCTACACGAAGCAGCAGCTCACGGCGGCACCAGTCCCGAGGCGCAACTCCACCGGCGGCCTGGGCAGAATTAACAACCGGGGCTTTCCGCGGGATGCCCACCCGTGCCACC